CGAGACATCCTCGGGGATCGAGGTGGAGGCGTCCGACCTGAGCCTGAGCCTGACGGGCGACGACGCCGGGGCCGCGCGGGGCCGGGCCAGCGACAGCGACAGCTCGGGCGACAAGGACAGCGACAGCATGGACGACACCGGCCACTACTCCATCCCGGAGGAGCCGCGCCCCGACGAGGATGACGACGACGACGACGACGACGAGGAGCCGCGGGCCCGGCGCCGGGGGCCCCGCAAGCGGCCGCCGCACGAGCGCGACTCGTCGGACGAGGAGCAGGCGCTGGAGGACTGGGTGGCCTCGGAGACGTGGGCGCTGCCTCGGCCGCGCTGGAGGGCGATCCCGGCGCTGCGGCAGCGCCAGCTGGGCGGCTGCTCGCGTTTCGTGGCTCAGGCGTGCGGAGCCCGGCTGTTTGTGCAGAAATTCCGGCTGCAGCACGGGCTGGAGGGTCACACGGGCTGCGTYAACACGCTGCATTTCAACCAGCGCGGCACGCGGCTGGCCAGCGGCAGCGACGACCTCAAGGTGCTGGTGTGGGACTGGCTGAGGCGCCGGCCCGTGCTGCAGTTCGACAGCGGCCACAAGAGCAACGTCTTCCAGGTGCGTTTGGGAGGGGTCTGGGGGAGTTTGGGAGGGGTCTGGGGGAGTTTGGGATGGTTTTGGGGGAGTTTGGGAGGGTTGGAAGAGTTTGGGAGGGGGCTGGGAGAGTTTGGGAGGGTTCTGGGGGAGTTTGGGAGGGTTCTGGAAGAGTTTGGGAGGGGTCTGGGAGAGTTTGGGAGGGTTCTGGAAGAGTTTGGGAGGGTTCTGGGAGAGTTTGGGAGGGTTTTGGGAGAGTTTGGGAGGGTTCTGGGGGAGTTTGAGAGGGTTCTGGGGGAGTTTGGGAGGGTTTTGGGAGAGTTTGGGAGGGTTCTGGGGGAGTTTGGGATGGTTCCCATGAGAGTTTGGGATGATGACTCAGGTGATTCTTAGGAGAGTTTGGGGTGATGGCTCAGATGGTTCCCAGGAGAGTTTGGGATGATTCCCATGAGAATTTGGGATGATGGCTCAGATGATTCTCAGGAGAATTTGGGATGGTTCTGGGAGAGTTTGGGATTGTTCCTGTGAGAGTTTGGGATGATTTCCAGGAGAGTTTGGGAGGGTTCTGCCGGAGTTTGGGAGGGTTCCCATGAGAATTTGGAAATGGTTCTGGGGGAGTTTGGGAGGGTTCTGGGAGAGTTTGGGATGGTTCTGGGAGAGTTTGGGAGGGTTTTGGGGGAGTTTGGGAGGGATCTGGGAGAGTTTGGGGTGATTTCCACAAGAGTTTGGGATGATGGTTCAAATGGTTCTCAGGAGAGTTTGGGGTGATGGTTCAGGTGATTCCCAGGAGAGTTTGGGATGATTCCTGGGGGAGTTTGGGATGATAGCTCAGGTGATTCCTGGGAGAGTTTGGGATGGTTCCAGGAGAGTTTGGGTTGCTTCCCATGAGAGTTTGGGATGATGGCTCAGGTGATTCCTAGGAGAGTTTGGGATGGTTCTGGGGGAATTTGGGAGAGTTCCTGCAGAGTTTGGGATGATTCCAGGAGAGTTTGGGAGGGTTCTGCAGGAGTTTGGGAGGGTTCCCATGAGAATTTGGAAATGGTTCTGGGGGAGTTTGGGAGGGTTCTGGGGGAGTTTGGGAAGGTTCCGGGAGAGGAGAGTTTTGGAATGGTTTCTGGGACAGTTTGGGATGATGGCTCAGGTGATTCTCAGGAGAATTTGGGATGATGGCTCAGGTGATTCTCAGGAGAATTTGGGATGATGGCTCAGGTGATTCTCAGGAGA